CGCACTCAGTCAGTGCACAGAAAGGGACAGGGACAGGGTTGCCAGGCACAGCCTGGCAACTGGCAGGAGATGGTGGAGATTCTGGCACAATGACATCACTTCCAGCAGGACCTGGAAGTGATGTCATTGTGGTGGGGTTAATATATATTTATTAAGAATTTATTCGCAGGGCCGCCACTTCCATTGTTGTTGTTCACTTGTTTTAACTGATATTGTATTTATTAATTGTTTTAATTTTTTGTTATGTTATTTAATCTTGTTAGCCACCTTGAGCCTGCTTGTCAGGCAAGGCGGGGTATAAATACAAATAATAAATAAATAAATATTATATTTATTAGGAATGTGCTGCCCTATTGCAGCAGGCCTTCCTGAAGCCAACAGAAAGTGAGTTATTGTCTCAGCGGCCCAAGTTTAGGCATGTGCTATAAGGAGGAAGTCTTCCTGTCCTCAGTGGCACTTGTTCCCACATCGGAGAGAACTTAACTGCAATGTGTGTAAAACCAGGTGCTTCTATGATGCAAAACACTATCATTAACATCCAGTTGCACCCAAGCTTTTCAAAATTGTTTCTTTGCTCAGCCACTGAAAGGTGGTTGCATGGATTTATCCAGGTACATACATAGTACATAGTTCTCTGTCATCTAATCCATCAATGGAACATTTTAAATTTTAAAAATCCAAACATGAAGGATAGAAAGACACACTTTAGAGAGCGAACAAAAAGTTTCCATTCAGCAACCAGTTTTCCTGGCTGCAGCAAATAGTAGCACCGGTAGGCCCTCGGCCCTGATGGTAGAAGCACTCTTCTCCTTCACAATTACCCTTTCCTTGACTTGATCAAATTTATTTATAAAATGTGTCAGGAATGGAAATATTCCAGACCACCATTTCCCATGCAATCTGCTCCTAATCATCATGAAAGGGTCATGTTCAGATCCATTCACATTACACACTGCTCACCATTCGTTGTTCTTCTATTCGAAGACCACTTTGGAGTAGATGGGAGGGGGTACATGTAATTTTTAAAATTATTATTATTAGCCAAAGGCAAGCCCATCTACTCACCAACTAGGTGACTTAGCGGGTAGTTTAGAATCTTGTCTCAATGTTCACTATCTCCCCTCTTTCTATGGCACAATATTTCAAAACTACTGGGTAAGAGCAACTGGCAAACAGCATTATTGGTGGGGGGGGGGATTAAAAATTTCCACCCCTCCAGGAAGAGCATGCAAAGGGTGCTCTAATGAAAAATACAAAAAACCAGAATAGCAAGGGATAAAAGAAATGGAATACATCATCTTCTGGAATATATTGGTACAGAATTTGCATTTCTGACTGTTTTAGATCAGCTAGTATTGGAAATGAGGTCTCATTCTAACAAGTTATAACCTGCAGGGTCAACCCCAAGCCAAATAATGCTCCCAGGCAAGGCCCCACCCATTTGTTCAACTTTTGAACATCATTTTTATTGCTTTCATATTATGTTACCTTATGTTTCGCATTACTTTAATGCACAATTTGCATGCATTTTATATATTTATGATAAATTTGCACACCTGTACGTATACCAAAAGGAGCTGCGGTGGCTCAAGTGGTTAAGATGCTGAACTGCAGGCTGTGGAAGGTCGGTAGTTCAGCAGTTCGAGACCCGAGTGTGCCGCATGACGGAGTGAGCTCAATGCTCTAGTTCCAGTTCCTGCCAACCTAGCAGTTCGAAAGCAAGAAATTGCAAGTAGATAAATAGGTACCACTTCAGTGGGAAGGTAACAGTGTTCCGTGCGCCTTGGTGTTTAGTCATACCGGCCACATGACCACGGAAATGTCTTCGGACAGCGCTGGCTCTTTGGATTTGAAACGGAGATGAGCACCACAGCCCTAGAGTCGGATTCGACTGGCTTTCGAGCAAGGTAAACCTTGACCTTGACCTATACTAAAGCCATGTATAAGCAAAGGAAAACAAATTTGTTTCCTCTAACCTTTATTTAGTCTAAACTTATTGAAAGCTTTTTTTTCATTTTAGAAAGGACTGAAATGTCTAACTCCACAAAACTGAACTGAGTATTAATATTGAGTGGTACTAGTAGTAAAGATAATTACTATAAGTGACTGTCTTAGAATCTTGAGTGGATAGTTGAGCAGGCAGCCATGACAGGCAGTCTACCAAGTTAGTTGAAAAGTATGCATATGGAGAGTGATTTCAGCTAAGCATACCTTTATTTAGTCAGGAACAAAGACAAGATACCCGGCTCGCAGGCCGGCTTATATTCTCTCAGAGAAACCCTCCACCAACACACCCCCCACTCCTGATAGGCAGTCTACCAAGTTAGTTGAAAAGTATGCATATGGAGAGTGATTTCAGCTAAGCATACCTTTATTTAGTCAGGAACAAAGACAAGATACCCGGCTCGCAGGCCGGCTTATATTCTCTCAGAGAAACCCTCCACCAACACACCCCCCACTCCTGATAGGCTATTTACAGTAACCAAGAGACCTATTGGCCTCTTGGCCTGGGACCTAGCCCTTTCATTGGGCCTGGCTAGGATCCTACTGCCCATTGTCTTCTGGTCTGAAGCTAGCTGTGTTTGGTGTCTGGGCAAGCCCAGGCATGCCCGGCCCTGTAGGGGCCTGATACACTACATTAGTCACCTGGGTCACCTGTCCCTAAACCCAGACTGGAGACCAAGGGTTCCCCCAAGAAGATTAAAAGTGTGTTCTTTTTAAGGCAGAGGCTTTTCAGCATCCAGAAACGGAGTGATGTTTCCACTAGCAGCAGTAGGAACAACATTAACTCACATGGAAATTATTTTAATCACCTGGGAGTGGTTCTCTGATAGTTCCTGACATTGTTCTTCACTGCTGATATACCATCCATCCTGGCACATATTAGGAACTACACCCAAGTGTGGGCAGTGACCTATCTCTAAAACCCACATGATGAAAAAAGAAGGCTACAAAATAACATTTGTATACAAAATAGACAACAGTGTCACGACGAGATCTCTGATGTCCGGTTATGGCTATTAACAAGTAGACTTTGTCTATCCCTTTTAAGTGTTTGAAGTTCTTAAAAACATTATCACAACAACACTGGAAGCTAGCTTGGTATTATCCCTGTATTACAGATGGGTCACATGGAAAGAATGGCTTGTCTAAGACTACCTAGTAAGTTTATGGTGGAGATAAGACCTGAAGCACAGTATTTCTGATTTGCAGTTGAGTCTCGCATGGTGTAGAGTTACTACAGTCCACCCTCACTGAACTAGGAGAGCTCTATTAGATACTGTACTGCACTAGTTAGAGCAGGGGTGTCAAACATAAGGTCCGGGGGCCGGAACCAGCCCATCCAGTGCTGTTATGCAACCCGTGAGCAACTGGTGCAAGGGAGGGAGTCCAGGGGGGAGAGGGCAGGGCTATTGCATTGTGGCTTCAGCACAGCAGAACAACCTCATTTGCAGCAGTTAAGTATCATGGGAGTGTCTTGCCCAGTGCTGCACTGCTGCCTCTTCAGTCTGCCCATATGGGTTTTCCTTTGTACCCCCATCCCAGCCCAGGGGGCCTTGCAGTGAGGATACACCAACTTGGAGCTTACCAGCTGCTGTCCTTTATAGAGTTTCTATCTCTGGTACCTGGCATTACATTTTATGGCATACATGGGCCGGCCCAACAAAGTGACATTTATGTCAGATCCGGCCCTTGTAACACTTCTGAATTAGAGACCCCATTACATGAGATTTGAACGCAACATTAGTTGCTTTATTGTGACGCTACATTAGACTATTGTGTTTGGAGTAATACACTGATTTTCTCTCAAAAGCACTTTTCCATTTATTAACAGTCTTCTGTGATGTGGGTGTCTCTTTTCACACCACTATTAGCCTTAGTCATATGAGGCATTTGGGGAGGGTTGCCAAAGGTGGCTTCCCCCTCTAAATTTAGCAACCAAACAGTGGCATTTGGGGAGGGTTGCCAAAGGTGGCTTCCCCCTTGGTTGCGAAGGAACACCCGCATAACATAACTGCAGCTTACCATTCCCTAGAAAAACACTACAAAACCAAAAGTGCATAGGCTATGCTGTGGGTACCTTACAATCTTACCATGTGGTATCCTTTACACAGGATCATTCAAGTGGCCTCAAAAATCATTGTATCCACAGGAAAAATTGACAGCAATGAATATTATAAATGTTTAATTCCCCCACAGCCAGTGTTCCCTCTAAACTGAGTTAGTGTGAGCTAGCTCACAGTTTTTTAGCCTCCAGCTCACACATTTTGGTCTTAGCTCAGGAAGGATGGCCTCAGAGCAAACTAATTTATGGAGGAGCCAAATCGTTCGCTCACACCTTTAATGCCTGTAGCTCACAAAGTGGAATTTTTGCTCACAGGGCTCCACAGCTTAGAGGGAGCATATTGAAAAAACACATGGACCTGTTATATTTAATCTAGGGTCCAAGTAAGTCAGAATTGCAGCATGTCCTTCTTGCTTCACATATCCTGTAGCCACAAATAATCTCAGCACCAGCACCAATGTGTCACCCCTAGCATTTATCCATTTAGTGAACTTCTGCACAAGTGACAAGACTGGAATCTGACATAGCTGAGGAGACATGCTCTGGAATGCAGATGAATACATTAAATTTTGTCTTCTATGGAAAAGCAAAGATGTTATGAAGAGTTCTCATGGATCGAGGGGCAGACTAGAAAGTTTGTTTTTTTAATAGCGCCAACAGCTACAACTGCTTAAAAAGCAAAAGATTCTACAGCCACCAGACCTTTATTATATCTGGATCCATCACTTATTTCTCTCCTTGGTTTCTAAAACATACTTTGTTCCAAAGCAAATACATAGCAGTTCATTCATCCTGCTGTCCTGCAAGCATACCAGACAGTGACAGTGTGCTCTGTGGGGATATAAATACACTCCAGTCAAAAGGAGGCTAGCCTGTTGGCTACTATTCCTTCAAGCTACTTCAATTGGCTCATTGATCTTATTCAAGTGCTGGGGCAGCACCGTTCTGACAGTGCTGAAGAGAGCTATTTCTGCAGACTTCAGAGACGAATATTGCTGCTCTAACTCTGACAGTTATCAGCATCCTCCTTTTAAGCTGTAACTTTGGCCTCTAAGCCAGCTGGCTTCGTAAGTAAGACAAACTTGGCACCCCTTAAAGCATCAAAGCCTGTGTGAGTTTTAGTAAGGTATGATTTATAACTCCTTTTTTTATTTTACAGTATGTGCAGAAGCCAGAAGTGTGTAATCCCCCTCTTGGAAAGCAAGAATTCAGCCGCCGTTTCTAAGCAGTAAGCCGCATGAGGCAACTGCTCCGCTATACTCCTGGGAGTGGAAATATGTTTTGGCAATGCTCATTTTCCTTTTGGGGCCGAAAATTCTGGAGGGGTTTCAGAGTATTCCATGACTGGCTGCCATGAAACAGCATAGCAGGACAAGTATGTATTTATATTCTGTCCTGTCCTAGTCAGATTCAGAACTGGTTACAATGTGAAATCAAACCTCTTCCTGCCCAAGCCTGATATGAGAAATGCTGACCCATCAACCTTTCCCAGTCAGACTGGCACAAGCAAGTGTCTGTGTCTCCTCCTTCTTTTGCCCGATGGACAACAACAGGAACCAATAGGGCAACCACTATTTTTTAAATTCTCTTGGGCACTCACTATGCAGCATTTCAGAGTTGCCTATCAGGACCATAAGATTCCTCATTGTTCTCTTTTGTCTAAAATACATATTTTGCATCTCACCACAGGTGAAAACTCTCCTTTTGACAGCACACAGAATTGAAGTGTAAGGAGGAAGAAGCATGAGAGACACGTGCTGTTTCCCCTGTTTCTCTGGAAGTCCCATAGATCCAAGCACCCTGTTCTCATAGGAGGCAATTCTTCTTTACATGTTCACAGGCTCGTATCTATCACCCTTTCTAGCCTGTTTCAAGAAGTTTGGTGTCAGACAGCACCCCTCAGTCTGGAACCACCTAATAAATCACCACATTCTGATTATTTATCTCTGTGCATATGTGAAATATGGATTTTGTTTATTTGTTGTTATGTATTATTGTTATTATGATTTTATTGTTTTATTGGATTTTATGCATGGGCTGTCGCCCCTTGTAAGCTGCCCTGAGCCTGCTCGTAGGGAGGGTGGGGTAAAAATGCCTAAATAAATAATAATAAAAAAATTAATATTGTGCTTTATTTTATAGTAAGAATGGCAAAAGTAACAGATGAATATAGATATAGGAAACCCAAATTCAAATCCTTTACTTGGACAAGTAAGACCTATAGATCTTCCCACCACTTCAAGTCTCTGGTCCAGCCCTTACAATCCACTGGCATCACCTTTCTCTTCTGTTTCCACACAACACTCTCCACATGCAACTTCATCTACAGTTAGAGGTCCTGAAACAACTAGGGATATCTTCTTTGCTTTAGCATGAAGAACTCACTCCACAATGGGCTGTGTTCAGGATGATAGTATGGAGAAATATTCTCTGTGGCTTCTGCTTTTGGCTATTTTGGGTTATAGGTAAAGGCAAGAAGATAGATCATGTTTTATATTTACACGGTGTATTTATACCATCTTGACAGAAATTTAACTTTCTGGGACTACCCTAATAACAGATTGTAATATCATTGTGTATCCTGTTCTTAAAGATTCTCGTAATTTAAGTTGCTGAGTATCAGACAGGCCAATATCACTTTCCACATGAATCTGGATTTGATTATTCCAGTCTCTCTCCCTTTACATGGTAATAAAAGATCACTGCAAATTGTTGGATAAATGTACCTAAAATTATGCATTCTATTTTCCCTAATATCCATTTCTTTTCCCTAATATCCATTTGGTAAGATACAAGCTGCAGCTGTGAGAACTTACTTCTGACTACAGTTTTTGAATTAGGTGTTAAACTGTGACACCCTCCTGAGTCACTGTACTGCAGCGCCAACACCAATCTGTGTTTAAAAGGCAGAGAAGTGGCTGTGATTAATTCTGGAAATCGTAATACGCAAAATGTCTAAAATGGAGGGTTACTAAATAGTGTTTGACAACCCACTCCCATACATTTCTAGAAAGAAAGTAGCTTATTTTCAACTGGTGACTCAGAATTGATAAATGGGTCATGATCAGATCCAACAGGGGTTTTTTTTGTTTAAGATTCACTTAAGGGTTTGTTTATAAGGAAAGCCATTGGGGGCAGAGTGAGAAAGAAGCTGGATATATTTGGGGAAAGACTAAAAACAGATCCACGGCACTGGAAAGGTTACACTTTAGGGCACCACAGATTTTGGCTAGATTTAGTAGCCAGCCATTATTAGAAATTACTAGTGACCCCACCAAGAGTGGATGGCCCAGGCTAGCCTGATCTCATCAGATCTCAGAAGCTAAGCAGGGTCGGCCCTGGTTAGTACATGGATGGGAGACCACCAAGGAAGCTCAGGGTTGCTATGTCTCTACAATGGAATGGGAAAAAAAGGGGGGGGGGGAATGGAATGGAAGGCAATGGGGAAAAAAATCTCTGAAAGTCTCTTACCTTGAAAACCCTATGAGGTCATCATAAGTTGGCTGCAACTTGACACACACAATGTCCCCACCCTCCCTTGAAATTCCCTGGCATACACAGAGAATTCAAAGAAGGTGGAGCTTTTCTCCCACATTCTGCTGGCTGTGGAGAAGGCCAAAAGCAGCACAAGTATCTTTCTATGCTTCTGACCTCCAAAGAAGACACAAAGGAAAAGATAAGGCCCTTCTGTTTTTTCCAGAAAATATGGGGCAGGGTCAAGGTCAGCCTCTGTCTTTACACTGGGCTTTGAAGAAAGGCAGAACCTGCCAGAGAGAGTTTAACCAATTAGGAAATATCCCATGAGAGCTTACAAATCCGTAACAGGAACATTTTGAATTATGATGTCATGGATTCTGCATCTGCTGGTATGACATTTCAGTTCTTTAAGGCCCAGACCACACACCACCTGGAATACAGCATCAGTCACTCAGGAACTGATATAATTGTAGAATCCAACAAACAAAGCACCACAGTTCATTTTAAAATCCAAATCCAAATGATAAAAATTACATTTTTATTTTTTTTGCTGAAGCTTCCACATGTTGTTTCAGGTACATCCACAAAAGTGAAACATTTTGCTTCCCCATAATGGTCTACCAAGTCCTTGATTATTTTATGCATCAACCTTGCCTGGGGATTTCTCACCTAATTGCACCAGAGACAGAGCCATATTTTTAGAAGGATGTAGGCCATGCTGAGTAGATGCTTCCAATGAGAAGAGAGTCAACAGTCCTATCTTGCAATTTTGGATTAATCAAAAGCCGTTATTAGGAAAGGATAAAAATGAACTCATCAAGGATAATCAAAAAGTAATTGTAGAAGTTTACTATTTTCTCCTTCCTATCTATAATAATTGCCTGATGGACACGATTTAACTTTAATAAATTAAGGTCATCTGAAGTCATCAATCATTAAAAGGAAATGAGTAAAGAGAATAAATTAATTTGCATCAGGCAACAATTACATGAAGGTTAGTTCCTTGTGATGTTCGTAAAGAGGTGGAAGGTCTCTACACACACACTGCATAACTACCCTATTAACCTGAAATGAAGACTAGCGTTCTTTTCAAATATGCTATCCAGAAAAAGAAAGGGCTACCATGAATTCTCATACAGTTAGGTACAGTAAAAGAGGTAACAGTTATGCACAGTAATCTTTAAAAAAAAACAACCAACCTTTGTGTATTACCCTTTTTTTTTAGAAGGATCATCTTTCTTTTGAGTAAATGTATCCCTTTCTAATGGGGGGTTTTCAACTCAATAAATGAGATTGCCCTTACAGCTTGTCAAACAAATATGAAATCCTCAGTGTCAGGCTTAGCTCTTGCTAATAATTCTGTGACACACTCCTGTGACTGTAATGCACTATCATCTTCCTTGTCAGGGTCATGTGGTCTGTGGGATAACCTATCTGCATTCATTTTGCCTGCTTTATATGTAAAGGTAAAATCATAATTAGACAATGCTGCCAGCCATCGATGAGAAGTGGCACCCAGCTTTGCTGTTGGGAGAATGTGTGTCGACGGGTTATTATCAGTTGTAACCTTAATTTTTGTTCCATACAAATAGTCATGGTTTTTCTCATATGACCCACTTAAGAGCAAGAAATTCTAAATTATGTACTGGGTAATTCTTTTCACTTGCACTCAATCCATGGCAGGAATATGCACTCACCCTTTTTCTCTCTTGTTCTTGGTACAGGGCAACTCCCAATCCAGTCAAGCTGGCATCTGTATGTAATATATATGGGAGTTTCCAGTTAGAAAACCCCAAGATAGATGCAGATATCAGCAGGTTTTTACAGCATCAAAGGTTTCTTGACACTTTCCACTCCACTCTCCTCCTAATTTCTGAGAATGCTCATCAGAGTCACTACTATTTCTTTTTTTACCTTGTGTTCTGCCTGCCAGAACTAAAGTCAAGGGCTTAGTGATAGTTTACAAATCTCCTGTAATACCTTGCAAACCCCAGGAAGGTCCTTAGTTTTTCACAGTCTTTGGCCTTGGCCAGACCATTAAAGCAGATAGCTTATCCAAGTCAGGTTGTATGCCATCCTATGAGATTACATGCCCCAAGTACTTCACTGATGTTTGAAAGAATTTACATTTAGAAACTGATAAGTTTAACCCATGTTCTATCAGCTATTGTAGAACATGCATTAATCTTGCCTCATGTTCTTCTAGGGCTGCAGAAAATACTATTAGGTCATCCAGGAATGCTATTACTTCAGTGCGGTTGATATCTTTCATGACACTCTCCATCATCCTTTGAAATGTAGCTGGAAAAGCAGGTTGCTTACCAGTAACTGGTGATCTTCGAGTGGTCATCTGTGCATTCACACTCATGGGATTCAGTGTGCATGCACTGGATCGATCGGTGCTGTAGCAAGCTCTTTTCTAATGGATTTATTTATTTATTTATCATATTTATATTCCGCCCTCCCCAGGTGGGCTCAGGGCGGCTAACAAGGGCAGGACACAGCCATGCCAGATTAAAAACATATAAAAACATAATAAACATTCAACATTAAAACCACTGTGCTCAATTTGTAACTGATATCCTAAGTCCAAGATGGTAAATCCACAGTTACAGAAGGTGCTCCCAAAAAGTACGTGTCCAGTGACAATGGCCGAAGCTCTTCTACAATTTCCAACGTCTTCCTTGGGCCTCGTTGATGCATCCTTTGAGATACCTTAACGGTGGTGGTATAATGGAGCGGCAGCTCCTACTCAAAGGCCTGGCAGAAGAGCTCTGTCTTGCAGGCCCTGTGGAATTGCATAAGGTCCTGCAGGGCTTGGATCTCCCCCGGGAGCTCATTCCACTAGGTAGGAGCCACCACCGAAAAAGCCCTGGCCCTGGTTGCAGCTAGTTTAACATCCTTGGGCCCCGGGATGACTAAAAAAATGTTGGGCCCGGACCGTAGTGCTCTTGGGGGAACATGTGGGGCAAGGCAGTCCCTCAGGTAGGTTGGACCCTGGCCATAAAGGGCTTTATAGGTAAGAACCAGCACTTTGAAGCGGATCCAGTACGCTATCGGCAGCCAGTGCAACGCTTTCAGCACAGGCTGGATATGGTCCCTCCGAGAAACTCCCATCAGCAGCCTGGCTGCAGCATTCTGCAAAAGCTGCAGCTTCCGGATCTGCGACAAAGGCATCCCCATGTAGAGAGCATTGCAGTAGTCTAGCCTTGAGGTGACCGTCGCGTGGATCACTGTGGCCAGGTCTTCTTGGTCAAGGTAGGGGACCAACTGCCACACCAACCGAAGATGATAGAAGGCTGACTTGACAGTGGCTGCCACCTGGGCCTCCATTGTTAGAGAGGAGTCCAGGAGCACCCCCAAGCTCCTAACCCTAGACACCGGCACCAAAGGCGCCCCGTCGAAGGTCGGGAGAGGGAGCCCTAACCCCACACTGGTCCGACTCA